TCTTTTTAATTTAGCCATTCAGGTGAACGTATAATGGTTTGTCTTCATTTCTTGAAGGATATTTTCACTAGAAATTCCAGATTGGCAAATTTTTCTTTCACATTTGTTGAAAAGTTTGATTCTCCTTAATGTTTCCTCTCCAGTACTTAAAGCTGCCACTTTTCTTTTTCTTCTCATCCCCTCCCTACCCCATCCTTAGCGCTTTTTGTTTTGAGGTAGGGTCCCACTAAGTTGCCGAAGGTGGCCTTGAATTTGTCATTCTCCCATTTCAGCCTGTGGTTTTTTAAGGTTTCTCTTTGTCACTGTCTGTCTTTGTGATTATCCAGCGGAGAGTTGTAGGGGTTTTTGTGTGTGTGTGTGTGTGTTTTGTTATATTTTTAAAAGATGTGTGCATATGTTGTTTTCATCAAATTTGGAAAATCGTTAGCTGTCATTCCTCCTTCCCATATTTTTTAAACCCACTATTTGATCTTTTCTGGGGAGTCCCGTTGGATGTATGTTAGACCACTGGATCTTGTTCACAGGTCATTAGCATGCTGTTTATTTTTCATTCTTTTTGTTTGTGTTTCAGTTTGCTTGATCTTTCACTATTTTTCTTTTGAAACGATAAATAATTTCAGATATTTTATTGCATTTCTAGAAGTTGATTTGACTCATTTTCTTGTTTTCAATTTATTTGTTTATTCCTTAGACTATTTGGGCATATTTATAAAAGATACTTGAGAATCCTTGTCTGTTGAGTCCATCAGCTTTTTAAGTATCATCTAACCTCATCATGAAAAGAAGGATGTAGAGTACAGCTATTTTCAGAGAAAGTCACATTGTTTTTATTGTAGTATATTGTTATAATTGTTTTATTGGTGTAAACCTCTTACTGTGTTTAATTTATAAATTAAACTTTATCATAGGTATGCATGTGCAGTAAAAAGAGTTTGGTACTATCTGCAGTTCCAGGCATCCAGCAGAGGGGATTTTGGACTCTGAATAAGGGCGGGAATTACTGTACTGCATATTAAGTCACATGTTTGGTAGGCTAGGTTATTAAACAGATGATTGACTTGGAAGATTTTCTGCTTTCAAGGAGCATGTAGTCCTGGCTTTTTTCATTTAATGAGTTTGCGAGATTTATTGTTGATTGTCATAATCGCCTTTTTGAGACAGGGTCTCACTGTGCAGTTCAGGATGGTCTTGAGCTCACTTTGTAGCCCAGGTTGGTCTTGAACTTGCAATGATCCTCCTGCCTCAGCCTCCCAAGTGCTGGGATTACAGGCGCCTGCCACCACGCCCCACTGTTGTCATAATCGATTGTAGTGGTTGCTTTTGGTATTTGTTTTAGTAATACACTACAGTTCTGCTATTGTTGGGCATTTTAGTAAATTTTGGTTTGTGCTATTAAAGAGTATTGATGTTCTGAGCATTCCAGTGAATGTCTTTTTGTGAACATATGCACTTATATCTCTTTCTTAGACTTGGTGAATTTTCAAGTCACAGGGTGTGCAAATACTTAGTTTTATTATATACTGTCAATGTTTTTTGATGGAGTTGTAACAGTGTTAATGATATTTAAATATACTGTGCTTGAGTAACTGATAGAAAAGTAACATTATTCTTCTATTAGAAATAAAACTTTATTAATTATCCTTACATATTTAGTCTATGACATATACTCTTGTTAAATTGGCACTGGATTAAATTTATGTTAATATGGGAAGAAATGATATCCTCCTTTGTTCATACATAAATTGCATTTGGAACTAGCTCACGATATTTTGTCAAGCAATAGCTTCTGGCTCTTTTTTATTCCCTCCAGTGCCAGGGAGATGTGTCAAGAAAACATAGTTACTATTACTATAAAATTAAAAATATGGATGAAATAATCCTTGTCAACCAGTTCATAGCTGACGATAGCTGTAAGTAAAGTAAAAAATTACAGATATAAGGCAGAAATGAATAAATTGTTTTATGATGTTGGGAACGTACATTAATAAGAGTAGTTGTGCCAAGAGAAGTGTTTAAAAGGGCATCTTGCTGTGAGGCAGTTCTTTAGTGACAGGACGAGCTATGACACCTGGAGGCACTGCTGTACTATCTGAGGAAGATGCTGTAGAGGCCCTAAGTAACACATGAAGGGGTCTAGGGTGTATGCTTTTAGTACTGGGAAAGCACACAAGTGTTTGATTACAGGAGTAATATGGCCAATTTTTCTTCGGTACCAGGAATTGAACCCACGACCTTGCGCTTGCCAGTCAGACGCTGTGCCGCTGAGCTAAATCCCCAGCCCCAATATGGCCAAATTCTAATTTTTAGTTTAGTCCCCCCCTGCCGCCCGCCCCGGTACCGGGAATTGAACTCACGACCTTGCACTTGCTGGGCAGGCACTATGCTGCTGAGCTGAATCCCCAGCCCCAAAATTCTAATTTTTAGGAAGATAGTTCCAGCAGCAGTTTTGGAGGAAAAGGTAAAATGGAAATGAGAAAAAGCAATGTAGCTCAGTATGGCATTGTTGGTGTCTCTTTTCTCTTGTTGCTGAGACAAAATGCATGACACCCAGGATTAAGGAAGGAAAGGTTTATTTAGCTCACAGGTTGTGGAGGTTTCAGCCCATACTCAGCCGCCTCCAAGGCAGAGTGCACATGGCAGAGGGCAGCAGTTCATGGCGGCAAAAGCAGCGAGAGCAGAAGGGGCGGAGCAGTGGAAAGAGCAAGCCTCTTTCCCTCTCTTACGTTGCATGCAGGCTTTCCACCCCTGGGCAGGGGTAGCACTCACACCCATAACCCCAGCATTGGACCATGAATCAGTCACAAACTCTAGAAGCCCGTCCCATGACTGCAAGAGGCTTTGGGGGGTCATCCAGACACAAACCGTAACAGCTGGTAAGCATGGATGAAAAAAAGAAATTTGAATATACATTTAAAGAGTGGGATGCAACGAATGAACACGGTCTTTAGCATCAAGTTAGGTTTGAATGTTAACTTTGCACTTATTAAAGGTCCTAAAATGAATCATTGAAAAGTTTCCATTTTTGTAATGTGTTTATTCTGTGGTTGTTTTAAAGCGCTGAAAGCATGAAAGTGAAGGATATGTATCTGCCAGAGTGCAGTCTGGAAAAAAGCTGGACTGACAGGTTTTGGCCAAATTGTGTAGTTACTTTTGACATGATTGGGAGATTAGGTTTAATTCTGAAGCAAGTAAATGGCATCAGAAGAACTGGAGATATATTGGGGTATGGGGGAATTCCTTACATAGAACCATTGAGCAGTTTGTTATACTAGAAAAGAGAAAGACTGAATAGGACTCAAACTTTGCTGCTTTGTGTGACTAGGTTGATAGTTCGCCCATGATCTCAGGCCGTCACAGAATTTAGTGTGTCTGATGACTCTTGATCATCCTTCATGAAGGAGGTCTTTTCCCCAGACTGTCAGGACTCTTTATTATAATGTACACCCCTCCCTGAGTTTCTCCTTCCCAGTCCTAACTGTACTTTCTAATTACATGATTTATTGTGGTCTTTATTATTTGTGCCCATTGCCCTCACAAAACAAGAGATCAGGAGATTTTGTGTAAGTTTTTTTGTAATGGATTTCATCCACTTTTAGTAGGCACTCGATCTAATTGACATATTTTGAATGAATAATTGTTAAGAATTTGATGGCTGAGAATTAGTGATTAGATGAAATAAAAATGAGGGGGAGAAAATACTGAATGCACCAAATTTTGGGGGGTACCTAGAAAAACGGTGAGATCAGGAATATTCAGGATAGACTGAATTTTCTGTGAAATGGTAGAGTTCAGTTTTACAAACATTGACCTTAAGTATTAATGAGATTTTCAGAGGGTTGGGTACCTTTGATAACTGGCAACTACAGAATAATAGCTCTAGAGATAAGGGCTTAAAGATGTGCATTTAAGGGTCTGAATGTAGAGGTACAGTGAGAGTGGCATCTGTGGATCCCGTAAATGTATGTTACAAACACAAATTCATGTGCTCCCATCTCGTGCACTGAATCAGAATCTGTGGTGAGGGGCTGGGGATTTAGCTCAGCGGCAAAGCACCTGCCTGGCAAGCGCAAGGTCGTGAGTTCGGTTCCCGGTACCGGAAAAAAACCAAAAAAAAAAAAAAAAAAAACCAAGAATCTGTGGTGAAACCCAAGAGGGTGCATTTTTGTATATTCCTCAGGCAATTGTATTGTAGACCAAAGTTTTAGACTCAGTTTTTAGAAGTCTTAAAATTTGGTTAATTCTATTGAAAATACTGCAGTATTCATTTTCTTCTATTGGCTTGTTAGGATACTGGGTGGTTTTAAAGGAACAAATTAAAAGACATTAATTCCTGTTCCACTGAGGAATGCAGATTGTTTACAAAGTACTTAAGAATTTACAGAGATTATTTTGGTTCTTGCTTTAAGCTCAATAAGTTTTTTTTTTTTGAAGAGGTAAGAATTAAATTTTAGTAGCTGTTTAGTGGTTTATATAAGTATGCTCACAGTATTTTGAGGCTCTGTTATGTGCTATGAAGGTACTCTGTATGCTTTTAAGAACATGTTTGTCTTAACACAGCAGCCTGACACTTAAGATGTAGAGGTCAAAGGAACTGCCAGTAGTTGTTACTCTAGGACATGGTAGTAAGGTAGATAATCTATATTTTTACGTAGCAGATACTCAGCATATAGAATGTAATTAAAAGCAAAACTAAGTATCAGAAGGGACTAGCACATATTTTAAGCCTATTTTAGGGAGGGTAATGAATAAGCTTTGTGGATGAAAATGGGAAACATGGTTTTGTCAGCTGAAAGCATACAGGCCACAGGGCCTGCCTAATCACCCTGCCACACATTCTCGCAACAACAGCAGGGTAATTGTCTTTTGATACACTTATGGGTGTTCATAAATATTATGGAAGATGAATTTGTTTTGATTTTATAATGAATTTTAGTAGTTTTTTAAAAAGCTTATCCAGTTGTCTATATAAAAAGAATTGAGTGAGGTGTTTTATATTTTAGGTTAAAAATCTGTAAGAGGCTGATTTTAGAATTCACCAGCTCCTCAGAAGTTTGGCGAAATATGGTATGTTTCTGTTTTATTTTTTGAAATTCATATTGCATGAATTATCTTAATGTCACAGTAAGAATGACAGTTGCGTTAAATTAGGGCACCTGTCATTTTTAAAGTATTGTACTAGTTGGGAAATAACTATGCTACTGTAGCGACCTAAGTGGTATTCTGAAAGAATTCACAGGAGATTAGTATGCTATGAGACATATAAAATCACATTCTTAAGAAGATTGAGGAGGTACATTTTACTGTAGGCCTTGGGTATTGATACTTGATTCCATTTGTGAGTACATAAAATGCCAGACACTTTTGTGAGCAATTTATATCTTAGCTAGTTCATCTTCATGGCAACCCATACTACTGTTACCGTAATTCCCTCTATAAGGAAATGGGGGTTCAGAGAGGTTAAATAATTTGCCCAAGATTTTCCAGCTAGAAGTAGCTAAACAGAGACATGAATCCAGACTGGCTTTGCAAAGCCTGTTTGTCTTCTCTGGAGCACTGGATTGCATAAAAGAGGAGACTGGAAGAGAGTCTCTTTGACTTCGTAATTTTCAAAATACATATTGTTCAATAAGCCAGTTAAAGATTTTTTAACATTCTTATTTTTGTGTTTAGAAGGTGGAAAGTTTGACTCATTTGGATCTTATAAATTCACAGACACTGTTAATTTCATGAGAAGCTGAGAGGGAACTAACTACATCATCACACTGTTCACTTCAGGAGTGCCATTGAGTTTTCTGTATTACCTCAGGAGTGCATAGGTCCTTATTAAGAGACATGTAGTTATGATAGGAAGTTATCTTACAGGGTTTGTAGATCCTGTTCGTTGGGGTACTCAAACTCAGGCCAACGCTGGCCCATATCTGGATTTGAAGCCCTTATGTTTATAGCTGTGGAAGTATGGGCTCAAGCATTGATGTTTCAACCTTTCTCTTGGGGTTTTCATATATACCTTGCTGCTTTATATTGGATTCTGGGTCTATGCTGTTAAATCACTTCCTCTGCTTGTCTATTAGTTTGAAGGTAGTAATTTTGAAGGGTCTTCCTCCCTCCTAATTTTCTCATCTTTCCTTAATTCATGCCTCAGTTTTGGCCTGGTCATGAGTGGAAAAATTAGTTATATGAAATGATCTAGGATATTGCAGATGTATATCTTTGCCAGGCTTACATATGGTTAAGGTGGGGGTCTAATAATCTGATCTGCAACTCTCAGGAAAGTTGGGTTAAGACCATGTATGGAAGAAAAAAAAATACTTGGTTGAGGGAGCATGCGTTCATATTTTGCTACATTTTTTAATAAAACAGTGTGATGGGTTTATGACTAAGAGTAGAACACATTATTTTTGTGCAATGCTCAAGGGCTTTTAGCTGTTAGGTGACTCTACATAAATATAGAATAAGTAGGACCAGAGTGTGTGTGTGTGTGTGTGTGTGTGTGTGTGTGTGTGTAAAACTGTTTCATTAAGAATTTGGCTACCTGATGACTGATTTTTTTTCCATTAATTTTAGAATACTGTGATTAAATTAGTCCCATTTAAACTGTTGGCATAATGATCAGGTCTCAATCCACACTCTGAATCCTTGGTTATTTATGTATATATAAATCAGAAAGCCATAGCAGAACTAAAGCAAAACAACAAAAATCCTCTCCTAAGTAGAAAGTAGATCTTGGTTTTAGTTGTAATTTCAACACTAATTCTGAAATCTTGGGCAAGTTGATTAATCACTCTGAGGCTTATTATTATTACTGTCTTAAAATAGCTGCCTTGATTACAGAGGGACATGTTTATCTTGAGACTCTAGATAGTATTGACCAAAATGCTTTGTAAAATCATACATTAAACCTGCAAGGGACTATTATAGGTTAAGTCCTTTAGCCAAAATGCCTGGGATCATACATGTTTCAGATGTCATTTTTACAAATTTTGCAATATTTGCGTAGATCTCACTGGTTGAACGTACCTCATCCAAAAAATCCAATCTGAAGTGTCCCAAAATCCAAAACTTTTGAGTTGCTGACATGGCTATAAAAGTTGTGGATTTTTAAGTGTCTTATACTTTTGGGTTAGGTATATTTAACCTGTACCACATTTTCTCAAGTGAAGGGATCATTTTAAGAAAATAACATGCTGAAAAATAGTCTGTAAAAGCTTTCTTACCATAATTACTCTTTTGAGAAATTTGTCATTGCCACCTAATTTGAAATTTTGAAGATAATTTATTGAACAATGATTGGGTTTATATACTAAAGTGTTCTAACTGAAGATTTGTTTAATTTATTAGAGTTATTAAGCCTACGATCAGATCAAGTTAGCAGCTAGACTCGTGTGACAACCTGTTTTTAATCAGTGACTCAAAGCTGTGATCACCCTGATGTCACCGAATGGCCACAGCTAGTAAAAGGTAATTTTGAATATTGTTTTACAGCCTTTAAAAGGCTGTCATTGTAAAGTGAAATACATGCTATAAAAAATGAAGAAAATGTATAGTTGGCAGGAATACTGTTAAGAATAGAGGACCTAAGAGTTGACTTATTTTTCCACTTAATTTCCTCCCTAAAATATTTGTCTCTGCTCCCCCATTCCTGAGATTATAAGAATTTTAGAGAAGATATGGACCATTTCTCAATATGCATTTTACAGTGTGCCTTTATGTGGTGGAAGTTTAAATACTTCTCTATTTGCAACATTAATACAACTAGTATATTTTTCTCTCCTAGAGAGTTACAGTGGAGTTAAAAGGAATGGCTTACATAGTAGAGAAAGCTGCACCAGTGTTATTGGAAGTGAGCCACCATTTGAATTTGCTAGCTCATGTTGCAGTATTCAGATTAGTGGGCTTTTGGAATCATTTATTTTCTGTCATTTCAAATCAAGACCTAACATTGAGATGAAAGTAATATTTATTTTTATATGTTACTTTGTTGTATTTCTGTTCTAAAACACCCTTTTGCAATTTATTATTCTGGCAAAATTTAAGATAAGTCAGCAGTTTTTAAAAAAATGAGATATTTCCCTTTGGGTATATGTTCTGAATTGGTAAAATCAGTAGCATGTAGTAGATTCTTATTTCCTGCATACTGACAGTAGCGACTAAATTAGCTCCTAAGCCAAAATAAAGCATAAGAACTATTATTAGATGTATGTCTGTATCATAATTTGGAGAGTTTGAGGCTTAACATTAGGATATTTTTGCTAACTTTTTTACAATATTATAGAAATAAACTCTTACAAAATGTCTAGAAATTTGTTCAGACATGCACTGTTACTATAAGAAACATATTTCTGGTAGTTACATGTATATTTACTTTTCTCTTGACTAAGAAAGTTTACAATTTGAATAAAAAGAAATCTGCTCTGTTTAAAAGACCCAGGACAGATTTATTTTGGGGTAATGTCTTTCAGTCCTTTCTTATTCTTTCGTTCTTATAGACAGCTGCTTTAAATTATTTAGTTTGACTTACAACTAAATAATTTAGTTGTAAATTATTTACAACTAGGTAATAGTTGTAAGGTATTTAATATCTCACTTTAATATGTGTAAGCGTTAAGTAGTAATACATATTTACAAACCTTTGGTGACATTTTGATACTAATATTCACATACCCACTTGCTTTGGTAGCAGAAATTGGGGAAACAGATGCAGATAGCATTTGATGATTGGTTGAATCTTGTCCCATTTCGGGATCTCAAAGCTTCACTGCACTTTGATAATGTACTTCTGAGATTTGGATTTGTTTTTCTTCTTCCTCTTGTCTTCCCTTTTTCCACTAATATTTTTTTCCTGTCATCATGTCCTCACATTTTCCTCTCTTTCTCTGTTAATTTTGAAACTTTTGCTGCCTGTCTTAAAGCTTCTAGTCTGCCTCTTTTCCCAGTGCCAGCAGGTTTATTTTGTGTTTGGCAAGCCAGTTCTGCTTCCTTCAGTATGACATCTGATGTTGGAGGGCAGCACTTTCAAAAGTGAGTCAGCTGGCCCATGGGGTTTTCAGCAGTTTATAGCCCTTCTGTCTAGGCGATACAAGTTTGGAAGCATTCTGGAGGTGCTTACTGCAAGGCTGGCGGAGGCGAGGGGTGTCCCAGGGGTGATTGGCTTGCTCCCTGGGGGAGGAGGTAAAGAAAATTTTTAGCATTAGTTTCACTGCCACCTCAAGCATGCCCCTATTTTTAGTTCTTACATAATTTTGTGCAAAATTGAAAATACATTACAAAGATCTAAAATATTTAAGCTGTTGGGCTCTTTTAAAATTTTTTTAATCTTTTTCTTCATTCTTATTTTGGGATCTGAATGAATTGTAGTGAGTATATTTTTGAAAGTCTTATAAAGAGATTTTTTTTTTAAGCTAAGAAATTAGAAAACACATTTCCACCATACTAGTGACTCTGATTTTAAGATTCTTTAAAAATTGTTAGAAGTCTAAAGGCAATAAGTTCACAAATCAAATTCTTGTATGCCACTTTGAAAATTTACTTTTGACTTCAACTTTTTAAAACTCATTTTGGAAAATTAAAAGTGTTTGAAGTAGGTATTATATTGATTTTCGTTTCAAAATTACATAAACTGATGCTGCTTATAAGAATGAAGATGGTAACATTTATTTTTAACAATATGATAGAGATAGGAAAAATTGATTAATATCCTTTAAAATGGAAATGAAGAATTCTTGAGAATTTTGAGTATTTCTGCATAGGACAGCTATAGTGTATTCAGAAAATAGCTGGCAACTGTTTAAAACTAAAGTTAATTGACAGTTTCCTGGAGCAGAATATTAATATCCCAGATGATAACTTTTGACAGTCTAACTTGCCAGTGTGTTTTTTAGGGAAACTTCATTTCATTGTTGAACCAGTGTAATTGTGGTCAGAATGGGACATCTGATATAAATGTTAAGAATTTGTCAAGGCTTAGATTTTAGTTTGAACTAACTAGAGCACAGGTTGGCAAACTTTTTCTTGAAGATCACATAATAAATCTTTAAGGTTTTGTGGGCACAGGTTTTCAGCCCTTCTTTTTCCTGTGAAAACAGCCGTAAGCAATGCTGAAATGAATGACAGAAACAGGTGAACATCCTGAGCTGCAGTTTGTCTGCACATGCTAGTTTGCTGACCCCTTTATCTAAAGTTTGAGACTATGAGTACCACTTCGTTTGATGTGCACAGTAAATATTTGGCTATAGAGAATTTCATGATCATCTTTATTGTACATATTTGACTATGTGAATAATTTTGGATTATATTGGTTTTTCTGTTGATGTATGATACAGTGTTTGTAATTGCCTTTTTTTAAAAGAAAGCATTGAGTTTATTAGTCCAGCCCTTAAAATATGTGTCGTACGGCAACCTGAACTGACCAGTTTTTCTCATGTTGAAATCTGTAATTATTTTTAATCTTTTAATTAGTGCTTAGATCTAGTTTTTAAATATGTCTTCCTTAAATTACATATCTGTCCCTTTTTGGAATATAGAATATTTTTCTAACTTTTCCTCAATTACATTTTCCAGATCACCAGGAGAACCCCAGTCGGACGACATTGAAGCTAGCCGAATGTAAGTATGACTTGCTTGAGGCTGTGGTATCTTTTCAGTTGCCCTGAAAAGCATATTATATATGCTTTAAATGTATTATTTGAAAATAATTTCCAGGTAGAAGAAGTAATGATTTAAATGTATATCCAGAGAGGAACATACCTAGGTTGCCCCTATTAAATGTCTCTACAACTTGGGCAAGAGGTCATTAGATGGCAACAGCTAGATAGATAATTGGCATATTCCTGAAATCTTTCTGTGTTTTTGCTTTCTTAGCAGTTGTGGGGAAATAGGAAGACTGGAGAAAGAATTGAGTTTAGCAGTGTCTGTGCCTGCCATGTGTAAGACATCAGGTCGTATGTTGTAGATACAAAACAAGTTAGTTTTCACTCAGGAGAAGCTTACCATGTACTCAGAGTGAAAATAGAGTGGTACTTGGAGAACAGTGGGAGCACAAACAAGTACCAGAGGACTCGATATGTAATGGGAACCTAATCCAGATGGTAGGAAAATGGGTGTGACTAATTGGACTGGGTTAAATTTGAAGTGTTCTTGGGAGTTAGGCAGCTTTAAGCATGACCACATTATGAAGCAGTGTACTGGGTGTAGCAAGCAGTAGGCAGTTCAGGATTTTTGGATCAGATTGACCAAAAGTTGTGAAAATGAAGATAAGCCTTGATAGGTGGAAAAGGCTAAGTAGGGCCTTGCATGCTGTGTGAAGGGTTTTGGCTTCTATCTCAGAGTGATTTGGGAATCACATCGAATTTCTTTAATAGTAGGGAGTACTATTTTTATTCTTGCTGTAGAGGAACAGATTTGATGAGAAACATGCGATAGTAGGTGACCAGGGCTTCAGCCTTAACAGTCTTAGTAATTGGTTGTAAAGACTTAAGAAGTTTAAAGTATTAGAGGTGGTAATTTCAAAGAAAGATTTTTTTGTAGAATAATAGTGGTTTGATTGAAAAATATTGGTGTAGAATTTGAGCTTACCTAAGTGGAAAGACCCCTTCTGATGTTAACAAGGGGTGAAAGTAGATACATGATGTTAAATGTGTTTATGGGTGAGGCTGACAAAGTCAAGATTTTCTTTGAAAATAGAGGCAATTCTTTTAAATGCTCATGTACATTGTGAATCTCCAACAAAGAAGTATAAAATGCATTTTTAAAATAGGTGACCATATAACTTTTTTTTTTTTGGACCATGTAACTTTTATATTAATTTTTTAAAATTGTAAAATAAATATTTTACATATTTTTAAAATAAACATACAGTGGTAAAAGTATAGTATTACCATTATAAGTGTACATTTTAGTGATGAATGATACTCTTGTGTAGTCATCATGAGAACTCTTCATTTAATAGTACTAAAACTTTATACTCATTAAAAGATAACTGTCCATTTCTCTTGCCCCTGGCAAGCAACATTCTACTTTCAGATTGTGATTTTTTCGGCTGCTTTAGGTACCTCATATACCGGCAGTTACATACTTCTTGTTTTTTTGATGATTGGCTTCATTCCTCAGGGATCATACATGTGGTAGCACATATCACAATGTGCTTCCCTTTTTTAGGGTCATTAATAACTTCCTGCATTATAGACTGTTGTTTGCTTACTCATTTATCTGTTAATGAATGCTTGGGTTGTCTTTAAGTTTTAATAATTGTAGGTATACGCTTTAAGACCTTACATTCTTTAGGATGTATACTCAAAAGTAGAATTACTGAATCAAATGTTAAAACTATTTTTGAGAAACTGTCAGACTGTTTGCCACAGTTTCTATGCCTTTTTACATTTCAACAGTGTACAAGGGTTTCAGTTTTTTTTTACATCTTTGCAACTATTTACTTAGGGTTTTTAAAAATTTTTTGATAGTAGTTACCTGAATGGATAGGAGGTGGTAGGTACTTGATTCTAATTGGGTGACAGTGTAACTTTATGAAATTCTTTGTAAAAACTTTCTTGGAACACTATGGTTAATAGAGGGTTCAGTTTGGGGAATTGAGAATACTGAAAATTTACCGAGTTGTTCAGGGTTGTGGGTGAAGAAGTGGACCAAAGAATGTTGCAAGTCTCATGCACTCAATGGCTACCTCAAGTTAGAAAGTTTATCACAGTTGGAATTTAAAGATTTTTCTGTAGTAGCCAGAGATTACAGTATTCCAGCTTGAGTATCAGCGGGGTAGTTGGGCCAGAACTTTGCACAGTGGCCTGTGTATAGGATATTTACTTTGGAGTAATTCAGTTTATATATTGTTGATGCTGGCTGTGGTTGGAAAGATGGTGGTGCTAGCCCCAGTATGCTGGGTTATTAACAGAAAGCCTTATCAGGAGGTCCAGATGGTAGAACATGATTTCGCAGCACTTGCCCTACTGCAGAAGCATCAATTGATACAACTATCCATTAACAAAAATACCTTCACAAGAGCTGTTGATACCAGGTGAGAGATTACAGCACCTACACATGGCATAGAAATGAGAGAGTATGTTTTGAAGAGGGTAGGAAAGACGGCTGTACTTTACCAGTGCCACCTCTCCCTCAGCCTTAAGCCACACGGTATGAAGAAACACTCTCCTTGGGAGAAAGGTATTAAGCACTGGACTTTGTTGTGAACCCCAGTGCTAGACCTGCCCATGGAAAACCCAGCAGGACCCTTAGCTACAGACTCCTGTCTACTACCCACAAAATGAGTCTCTGTGGCCACTTCACTGCCAGACGACATACCATAACCCTGAGCTTCAAGCCTGCCTAGAGCCAGGCCATTCCCTGCAGCTTCACTGTCTGGCTTGGTCCCCATGGTTCCATACTATAGCAGGCCCAGGGTTCAGGCGTCTCTTAGTAGGCTCCAGTGCTTGGCTCTCCCCATTGGATCCAGGCTCCAGGATCATTTTGTGGACTTCAATGTTAGGTCAACCTCTGTGGCTTTAGGACCTAATCTTTGTGAACTCTGACCTGCAGGCAACACCCCCACACCCAGCCTCAGGCTGGCTCCTGTGGAACCAAGCTGTTCATTTACATAAGAACCAAGCTGCACCCAAACTTTAGGCCATTCTCTGTAACTCCAGGTGCTAGTGGACCCAGAGTGCAGACCCATCCCATTAGATACTCATATCAGTCTGGCAGTAAGGCTCTGAGACCTCCCTTGCAGACCTAGGCTCCAGGCTAGCCTCTGTGCTCTCAGGCTTTAAGGCTTGTCCCACTGTATCTTGGTTGCAGGTCTACCCCAGCACCTGACTAACTACCTTCCGTATACTCAGGCCGTAGGCCTACCCAAGATTTGGGTTAGGTCTTGTCAGTTTGGCCATCAGACCCAGCCCACTGTGAATAAAGGCTCCAGGTCTACCCCCATTAGCCCATTCAGTAGGTCTAGCACGATGGATCCAGGCTTCATGTTTAGCCTTGTGGACAGAGGCTCTAGGCCGTCTTATGTGCTGACCTAGGAACCAGCCTTTCCTGCTCAAGAACTCAAGCGGCAGTCCTGCCCATGCACCACACCAGATGGCATGCTCAAAATCTCAGGACAAGTTGGCTGGTAAATGCTTTTCCCGGACAGAGCTGTCTGCAGACTGGAGTAAGTTCCTATTTTTTCAAATGTACAGACGCTAATGTAAGTGTCTACAAGGATCAAGAACAATCAGAAACCCAATGCCACAAAAGGAACAAAATAAGGAACCGCTTCTAAAGAAATGAACATTTATGTGCTGCCTGACAAGGAATTCAAAGTAATGGTTTGAAGGAAGCTGAATAAATTTTTAAAAAACTATAGAAAAGTCATCCCATGAAATCAAGAAAACAGTATACAACTACAATGAGAAATTTAAACAGAAGATTGAAATCAGATTTTTAAAAAATTTAAACTCAGGAGCTGAAAAATACAATGAATGAAATGAAAAATGCAAGCAAGAACATCAGCAGCCATGTTGATCAAGTACAAAAGCAATATGAACGTGAAGATAAATTACTTGAAAATATATAATCAGATGATATTAAAGGAAAAAGATTGAAAAGGAATGAGAAACACAGGATTTTATGGAACATCTTTCAAAGAAAAAATTTTTATGACTTCACCAAAGAGACAGTTTAAACAAATAATATTGAGAACTCATACAGAAAAATGAAAGGTCTGTAATAAGGTTCAGTTCAGATAAGACCTCATAAAGACATAAATACACTTGGTAAAAGCAAAGCCAAAGAGGATTCTGAAAGCAACAGGAGAAAAGTATTTCATATAAAAAGGAGTTGCAGTAAAACTAGGAGCATGTGACTTAGTAGAAATCTCACAGACCAAGGAAGATTGGAATAGTACATTTAACCTGCTGGAGGGGGTGGGGACAACAAAAATTATCAAGCAAGAATAATTTACCTGGCGAAGCTTTCCTTCAGAAGTGATGGACAGGTAAAAACTTTAGAGAGAAATGGAAGAGGAAGGAATTTATTATTATTAGACCTGTCTTATAAGAGAAGGGTAATTCGTAAAGCATAAAGAAAAGGACACTATCAGTAACATGAGAACATAGTGTAAAACTGCTGTAAATGTAAATACACAAACTACTAACTCAGTACAGTTTAACAGCATCATGCTATCCTGTCTCAGGACAGTGTTTAAAAGGGCCCGGCGATATAGCTCAGTGGGCATCCCTGAGTACAATCTCAGTAACACACACACACACACACACACACACACACACCAATCAGAATTAAAAGGAAAGCAGTAGAAAAAAGTGTAGCCATAAAGGAAGCTGTCACAAGAAGAAAAGTATAAACGATTTACAAAACAGCCACAAATGGCAATAATAGCTCGTTGTCTTCCAGTAATTGACTTGTATGTAAGTAGATTAAATTCTGCACAAAACATAGCTAATAAAATAAGAACCAACTACCATAGATACGGCCTATGTGAGACTTACTTCACCTTTAAGAACACACAAATTCAAAGTAGAAAGATAATTTTGGAATGAGAAACCAAGAAAGGAAGAATAGCTGTATTTAGATAACAACAAATGTAAAATAAAAAGTGTGAA